ATTTGATAAACCAATTAAGCATCAGCACTTGAAAGCTTTATATGTAAAATGTTTTGTTGATGGGAAGCCGATGAACAAAATGTTGGTAGACGGAGTTGCTTCTGTTAATCTTATGCCTTACACCACTTTTCGTAAACTTGGCAAGGGACCAGGAGATTTAATTGAGACTGACACGATGCTTAAGGACTTTGGGGGCAATACGTCCAAGACCCAGAGGGCAATGAACGTCGAACTAACAATCAGGAGTAAGACTCTGCTCACCACATTCTTCGTCATCGATGGAAAAGGGTCGTATAGTTTGCTCCTTGGTTGTGATTGGATTCATACGAACTATTGTGTACCATCGACCATGCATCAGTGTTTGATTCAATGGCATGGAGATGATGTCGAACTAGTTCGCGCTGATGAGTCTGCGAGCATCGCAATAGCCGATCCAGTCTTTTGGGAACTAGGAGACTTCGAATGCTTTTCTAGCAAGTTATGGGAAGGAGGCTTCATTAAAATCAGCAATAAAAGCCAACAGCCCATGCAAGCAATTTGCTCTAAGAGTTTGTTTTAGTAAATAGTCACGGCGTCACGTCGGCCATTGGATTAAAGGGGAATAAGCATTAGTCCTAGAGATGGGGTTAGGCCGACGTATGTGAACGCTAAGTCGAATCATAAGTGCAATTCAGAGTTGATATATCTATTAAAAGAAGTTTTGTTTTGCTTAATGAGATGCTTGGCCTAGACTGTTAGAGTTTCCCTTAGCCAATAAAGTTTCACGATCAAACAGATTCCTCTGAGCCTGCTTCACCTTTAGGACCTGATCTTCAAAGATAGAAAAAGGAGACAAGACTCTGGAGAGAGCTGGGGATTGATTGCCCTTGATGGCCAAGAAGACTCTATGCATTGGTTCAGTGTCTTGAACCAAATCGGCTATGTTTTTCTCAAACATTGGCAGAACATCTCTTAGCTGATTTTTGGTCTCTTCTGGCAAGGTTTCCTTGGAGGAAGTGACTGACAAACTGATTTCATTTTCATCAAAATACTCCTCAAGATTGAAAGAGTAACTTAGGGCTAGAAATTGAGTGCTTGTGTATAAGGAAATCTTGATTACGAGGCTTAAATTAGTTTATAACAAATGGATGGCAAAGAGGATACAATACCTTCTCTGTAGTAGCCTCTATCTGAAAAGAAGGAACAGCTGATGATGCACCAATAGCATCTGGTTGAATCGGTTCTGAGCTCTCAACATTGACATCTACAAACCTCAGGGAGGATTTTTAGTTTATGTTTGTTGTAAAGAAATGAGCTAAGCATGTGACTTTCTTACCATCAGTTGTGTGCTGAGTCGGGGAATCGACAGTTTGGATATCAGGAACGGCAGGATTACTTTCAATAGGGAGACTGTCAAACTCCTGCTCTTGTATAGGTGTTTCCTTGGGAAGTATCTGACATGGCAAGGAATCAGATGAAGGATGGAAATTGAATAAAATCAGGAACTTTTGAGAAAATACTCGAACGAGCATCAAAGATAAAATGGAAAAGACTCACATTTTCTACCGTTGTGGGAGTATCGGTTATTGCCACTGAAATTGGCTCCTTGTGAGAATCAGCCAATGAAGGTTCAATTGGCGCTGAATCAAACGCCTAGGACAACAGCTCCACACCCAGGGCAGATTGGGACACAATGGTTGATAACTATGAAAAAGGGGACAACAGCTCCGCACCTAGGGCAGAATATGGATTGTTTACCTGAGCAGCTGATGGTCTCATTCTACGAAGTCTTTTCCCAGTAATGGCTTTCTGAGTTGTCCCTTGGACCGCCTCGTGCTTTGAAGATTGGTATGTCACGATCATGGGGGTAGTATGAGTTTTCATCAATTTCTTCGGTGAAGGTGCGGCCGACCCCATTCTTGAGACTGGGTATGGTGGCTGATAATCTATGGGATGCCCTTTCCTATCCAAACCTAGAGGATAGAATTCAGTATCCTGAAAGGGTCGGTTAGAACAGTTGGCAGGAGAATTCACCAAGTAATTTCTCTGAAGAGGGAATAAAAAGTTACCTCACTATTAGAAGCAAATTCCCTATCTAGAGCTATGCACATAGGGTGAACCAGCCCATAGAAGAGGTGGGAGCACCATTCTTGCCATCAGGAATAAAAAAGAGTGAAAGATAAGATAGC